GTTGTTGTTGTTGTTGTTGTTGTGGAGGCTGAGGTTCAGCTCGAAGCTCGACTGCTTCCTCAGAGTGCGCGGCATCAGCTTCTTCTTCACAAACAGTTTCTGGAGGAAGCGGTTGCTGACGCTGGAGGGGCAGTAGCTGTGGATGAAGTACATGAGCCCCACGCCGGGTCCCGCGTAGTAACGCACCTGGGGCTGTGGCGACAGCAGCGCCTGGACGATGGCGTCGACGACAGGGGTCAGGTCGGGGTTGGCGTGGCTGGCGTAGCTCTGGAACAACTCCTTGGTCTCGGTCACATAGTCCTCGCCGTACTCCTCGAGCAGCGCTGGAGACAAACCCTGCAGCAGCTGTTTGTGCTGCTTCTCCCAGTAGGCGTGGTTACTGGACTGACCTGCAGAGGCAGCAGAGTTTCAGCGGTACGCAAGAACTAGTGCCACCTACTGGTTATCTGTAAACTGACTCTTAATATTCACTCAGCAGAGGAGGAAACGAGCAAACATTTTATTTTGGTGATTTTCTGAAGCTTATTTTAAAAATTACGACATGTTGATGACCTTATGATGTTCGCGAGGGTGCTTGTGGGTAATGTAGTTTTCCGGTCGTGTGGAGCACAAACACAGCAAAGACCGAACCAAAGAAGGAGGTGCAGGTTTTTATATCTGCAGTTTTCAGGCTGGAGCAGAACAGATGTTCCCAGAGAAAAGTTTAAACTGTGGAGCATCGAGACTTTGAATCGTATTTATAACAAAACTTGTGCTGCAGGTTTTCTTCTTCTGTCAGTCTGGTTGTTCAGCTGATCTACGTGAACACAGATTGTTCAACGTGGTGTCGACACATCGACTCAGTGGCTCGTCGTTACAGATTTGATAATAATCCTTCCCCAGGCTCATCTAACACCTGAGATCCATCCTGTTCCCTCAGATAATAAATAAACCAGCCCCAGATTCTCCCAGGGTCTTTCAGAGCGTATTCACAGATAAGCAGATGTTATGATGGGAGCTGTTCCAACGACTGTGATCATCAGTAAAAGGTCGATAATAAGCAGCCCTGTCAACACCTTTAATGGATTCAAATTGGTTTGGTTTGGATAAGTTGTTGTTAGAAACTATTTCTTATACAAAGGTTTCAGTTATCAACCATGTCAAAGCTTTGAGTGCATGTTCTGACAGGAAGCGTCTCTGGATGTGATGACATGTTTAAAACGCTTCTTCTGTTGTGAAATCTCAGACCGACCACAAAAATCCCACTTTCATCTCAAAGAGTCTTTTTTTTTTTTTAACCCAAGTTTAAGTTTTATCTTTGGCTACAGGGCGATGTTCAAACGAGCAGCTGTGTTTGTGCTGGTCTATAGGAAACATCTGTTTTTGTATTTAATTCAAAGTTAAGTAAAAGTTTGACTTTTAATCAAGTATTTAAAAGTTTGAACTTTTAACGTGCGGCTCTGGTTGTGATGTTGATATCTGTTCTTTATCTCGAGGTTGTAAAGCCGACTCTGGAAACGTTCTGATGAACAGACGTGTCCTGAACATAACAACTGCAGCACAGAGAGAGTTCTGTTTTCAAACCACAGCAGAGTGAAACTTTTCTACTGGCCCTGCTCACGTTCTCCCATCTGCTGCTGATTCAAAGTCACACGTCAGCAATTTGTACTTAGTGTGTATGAAAACAGATGCTCCATCCGTGGGGTCGTCATTGGCAGAATACTTGTCCTCAGCAGGAGGCCGGCATCATGTTCAACATGAGACCAAACCGCAATACACAGAGAGGAGAAATGAGGAAGAGCAGCCTGATCGGGTTCAGTACATCTGCTCGGCGTCTACGTTTAACCACAACACACCACCTGTCAAAGGTTTTAGAATCTATAGATGCTAATGGTTTGTCTGCGTGTGTGTGTGTGTGTGTGTGT